AGCTACAACGCAGTTAATAAAATTTATTCTACATAAGCATACTTCAAAGGAATATTTTAGTTATCTAAAAATAATTTCATAATCTAAAGTATTGAAGAACTTCATTTCTTCCATATTAATATTACATAAGAATTACAACATTTTACTAGAGCATATTTACAAAATAATTTCCAAACAAAGATTTGTGTAACTATTTTCTATTTACAATTTAAAATATTTATTATATAAATTTATCAATTAACATAACAGGAAACGAAATTTATGCAAAGTGGTCCTAATGGATATAACATTGTCAGTATAAAACAAATATTAAAAAAGAAATAAAAAAGTGATAATTATATTAAATGTTTGCCTGTAACTTTTGTTGAAAATTCATTTAAATACAGGAACATATTAAGCAAAAAAAATATAGTCATACTATCCACCACATGTTTGAAAATTGAAACAAAAATACAGATTTTTTTTATTATTAATGATACATTGATTATATGGAAATATGGAATTGGATTTGGACAAACATTTATGATATAATTTTGGTAGCAAAGATGATATAATTTTTCCCAGTCAACAATGATACAATTATGTATGGAATCACATAACACAACATGCACTAATTTTCACCGATGATTATCCACTGAAACATCTAATATGTACAGCAAGTTTTGAATTTATTTTTAATATATTTTACTTAAATATATTTTATATTCGTTATATTCAACATTGATGTCTGAACATGAAGTCACAGTAATTATAATATTAATTTTCTAAATTCTATTGGGCGGATGGTACAATAAGAGAATAATTGGAAAATTGTAAGTGCTTTTTCTAACACTATATAAATATAAAAATATATAACAAACTATAAAACTATATCGTTCGTTGCTACCAATAATATGGATGAATATAGATATGTCTATGTGCAAAAAAAATATTATAAAATTTACTATACAAATACATAATATTAATATACAAACATTATTATTAAATCAATTGATCGTGGCTAAAATATTTATGCCTGTTGGTTCGATTATAATTTATCTACTGATTAATTTCTCAGTTGTTTTATTAAAAAGACTACGGTGAATCTTAATTTACGTAAATTGTAGATTATTTTACCCTTTATTAACTTTCCGCGCGTAATAAAAGCAGTTTGACATATTGTGCGCATTTGATGGTTACCAAATATACATGGTGGTCAATGAATTTTATTTAATTTTTTCAAAAGATTTTATTCAACATTTTATATTTATATTTCAATTTAAGAATACGCGTCAAAAATCGTTAGATATATAAATTCTCAGTCAATATTCAAGTACCCAACTTATTATTATTTAGTGATCATATGAAACCATAATGAGAAAATTTCTGTTTTTTAATTTCGCACAAAACTAGGTAAATAAAAATGATTTTATTACTTTGTTTTATGTAAGTGCCTGAAATTCTTTGAAAGATGATAGTAGTGAATACTTCTTACTACAATAATTGGCATTAAAATAAATTATTGTGCGTAATGGCTATATTTAAAAAAATATTAATGGGAGAGTGATTTGAACACCATATGTTAATATGTAATTTGTATTAATATTCGATTGTGTCTGTCGTTGGGAAAGAAAGCGTAAGCTCTTCCTTTTGTTATTCATTTGTAAATCTCCGTCTAAATTATTTATTTTTTGCACTTGTGCTACCCTATTTTCGTCCGCTGCGTCCCTAGAGCAAAACGCATTTTCTTTTCGGTTTAACCGGAAGCACCGGGCAAAGGACAGCCCGTATCGCTTCATCGAAAACTGTTTTTAGTCCTTTCTGCGTGAGCGCTGAACATTCTAGATATTTAACAGCGCCTATTTCTTTTGCCATCGACAGGCCCTGGAACAGAAAAAAAAATTTGGTACTTCACACATTTAATGGGAAAGGCATTCCTGGATTCAATTTTATACACATCACAGCCTTACAAATATTTCATAGTCTCTTGTATAACGTACTTTCAAATATACGGGTAACATCGGTTATAAGAAAACTACCTGGTCATATGAAACAAAGGACTGGTACAGAAAGAGGGTGTAAATATGACATTTGGATAAGTCGAGGCTTTTGTTCAATAGAACCATGACATAACTTATCTTTTGCAGTATAGTTTCATTATGTTCATTGGTCTATTGTCCAGTGATTCTACTATACATATAAATTCGCTAAAATTTGCTTGTAATAGGTTTTGGCTGTACTCTAAAAATACGGTTTTGTAAGGAGAATGCTCTCAATTCTCAAACCATGTCAAAGTGAATCCATATTAATATGTATGGAAATATTTAAATATATATGAAGAAATTTCCATGTACAAAACTATATATTAAATTTCGCTAATTATAAAATTTTACAAAATGTCATAACCATATTTTTCTCCAATTCCACCAATAGCTCGCTTGTATCATATAGTGCGGAGGTTACCTGTATATAAAATTGCATACAGATAATATATTCGAATTTGAGTGAAATAAAAAATATTTTCATATCCTTTCGTTTAAGTGTAATAGTTTACCTAATATACAAGAAGAAATGTCTATAATTATTGAATCAGATTCTGTATAATTACGAATATAAATCTGTAATTATTAACAGCTATGATGTCCTATTGCTGTTGCTACCAAAATATACTTTCATATATAAGATATGTAATAGGTGCTAATTTTTTATCCTTTAATTTTTCGACAGTGTTTTAATTTTACTCACTTGTGGATATGTAATAGGTGCTAATTTTTTATCCTTTAACTTTTCGACAGTGTCCTTGTCTTCGCGCAAATCGAGCTTCGTTCCGACGAGTATTATCGGCGTGTTCGGGCAATGGTGCCGCACTTCTGGATACCATTTGGCGCGTACGTTCTCGAATGATGCTGGATTCACCAGTGAAAAACAAATCAGGAATACGTCAGTCTGAGGGTAGGAAAGTGGCCTGAGACGGTCGTAATCTTCTTGACCTGCTGTATCCCATAATCCCAAATTGATCGGTTTACCATCGACCATAACATTGGCAGAGTAGTTGTCAAATCTGAGAAAAGAAATAAAAAAAATAGAATCTATCTAATCTGTAAATATTATAAAGATTAAGAGTGTTCAAACAATTTGTTATTCGACTGCATTAATATAATAAAGTCAGGATCTATCTATATTCGCTATAGAGTAGTTGTTTTAGCTAGTTTATGGTAGAGATTATCACTCTTTATGTAAATTTTATTGATCTTGCGGGAAATATGTATAATTGAAAGAATCTCATAAAATGAGATTTTTTAAATTTATGATTACTAATGTGGAGACTTACACTGTGGGTATGTATTCGCCAGGAAAGGCATTTGTTGTGTAACTGATCAGCAAACATGTCTTACCGACGGCTCTGTAAAAGATGAAAAGATTTCTATTAATATCAATAAATAGATAAAATATAAAAATTCATCATATACACTTGTACTGTTCTTGTTAATGCAAAAACGCGATATGGATTTTGACTAGTGTGATCATTGTTGAGAGAATACAAGGCGTTTATACGAGTACTAGTGAATTGGCATCTCTTATGATTACAAACATATATATATATATATATATATATATATATATATATACATATATATATATATACATATATATATATACATATATATATATATATATATCTATAATTATCTGCTGAAATTATTTTCGTTTTAAAATTATTAATACTATATGTATCGAATAGTGATTTTTATAGCAATTGAAACTAAAAAAATATTAGCTAAAACGTATTGAATCAATTGTCAAAGAAAATGAAATAAAAAAATCATCGAAAAACCTGTCAAATATTCGAATTATTCAATATCTAATGAAAAGCTGCCATTCATAACTTGAAAACTACAAGAAAAAAGACTTTTTCCGGACATCATTGCGTTTCATTAAAACCGTTTCGTAATATACAAGAATTTATAAATAAATATTTCATATTAATATGCGCCAATACGTGATGACAATTTATATGCTTTATCAATAATATAAATAAGATATGATATGAATTAGCACATGCTAAAAGCTATTTATCTACAGTGATTACCACTGATAAAACTCTATACTCAAGATAATACTACATTTAGATCATTATTTCAAAAGACAAATACTACTTTCAATAAAATTGTTTAGCAAATAAAACTTCTCAGTTTGATGTAGTGTTGAACTTTCCTTTTTACAACGCCGCGTATTAGAAAGCAACCCAAGGGTTGGCCTATCCATGTTTAATGTATTTATTATTATTAGAATTTCTCTAATACTCTCTGATAATGATAAAGTTAATTTAAAACAGCATTAGCCGGAAAAGGGCTATATCTACTCGCAAATGTCTTGGTAATCTGCATTTTCAAGAACAAACTGATATCCCTACTACTTGATATCAAGATGGCAGAGTTGGAAATAAGAGATGAACACCCTACTCTCAAAATAATATAACTTACAACCATTACTTTTTACAATTACGTTTGAAAAAAAAAACCCTTGCCACTCGCAAATTCCGGAATTTGTATATATTTTGTCGACGGAGCGGCGGCAACCGAGTCTGAAGGGTTAATTTATGGATATCTTCACCGTTCATGAAATAAAAAGTTAATCCCTAGTATTTCTTGTTTCAGAGGTCCCGGGTTCGATACCCACTTCGAGCAGCCTGTTGTCAGACAGCAGCGGCAACGATTTTCACTTGGAAATATAGATAGCAATATGTTTCCAAGTAAAAATAGCCCTTGCCCGGCATTGCTGCACCAATAAAAAAGTCAGCCCTATTGGATTAATTCTAATACAAAAATCATCAAATATGGATGGATTAACCATTGGGTTACCATCTAAAAATACGAAGTAAGGAGAAGTTTCAGCCCAACAGCTCATAGGACGTAAGGTTCTGATTACTGTAAAAATAATAATAATAATAATAATAAAAAATCCCTAGTATTTACGTTATAAAAGTTAATTCTTCATTAAGGTGAGTATTGAAACTTTACAAGCAGACCTTGTCCCGTATAAGAGATCTCTGGTGCTAATTTTAACATGACGCAATTGAACCACGCAAGTAACGAGCTACTTAATAAAGTGTGTAATGAAGATTCGTCTGAGGATAAAGTACATGATGTTAACTAATTAGATCTTGTTCTTTATTTTTAGTAAAATTGACAAATATATTAGACTAAAACATGCAATAAAGTATTGCTAGCTAATTTTGTAACTTAAACATTACTTGCAGCAAGAATCTCCTTTTTAGTATGATAGCTATCGGCGCAGCATCATTCTGGATTGCCTTTTCCAAGTTTATTTTATTTTTTATTTTAGTTTTTAGACCTTCAGGCAATTTCCTATCTCAATTCTTATAGCGTTTTTTTATTACGTTTTTTATTGCAACATTAACATTGATAGACTCTATTGTAAAGATTGTTTCGATACAAGTTACGTTGTTTAACTAATACTAAACTCATGTGAAATATTTCATGTGGCCTCTTTCATGTGTTCAAATAAACATTTTTGTGTAATTTGAACAGATGTACCTTTTAAAATATAGTCCTCTCTTTTAGAGATTCCATACTAAAGAACTTTGGCAAATATAGTAAAACAAAGTGGTCCAAAGAACTTGTCTTTTATGAAAGCTTTATCATAAAAGTTATTATTTCGATATATTGCAACAAATAGCGTCTCTAATATTAAATTTGTATAATGGTAAAATATATATTTAACGCTATAGATTAGAGTAACATACAAAAAATAAATATATACGACTAGAGGCTGAATAATATAATCTATTATAAATTAATTAATATAAACTATTATAAATTAATAACAAACGCGCGTTCGTCATACAAGATAAACTATTATTATTATATTTTTCCAGGTCTAGTTCTTGCAGTAATTTATATTAAACATATCAGAATATATCCCACATTTGCAGATAAAACTGTGTATAGATTATATTTTATTTTCTTTGTTATCTTGAAGACTGCGGAATGTTTTTTTTATTATACATATTTCATTATAAATATTATTTATAAACTTAATAAAGATAAAAAACAATGGATAAATACTTATCACAAGTATAAGTCGAACATTTACCTTGAGCGTAAAGAATAGGAAATATGTGATTGTTTTGTTTTGGTTCTGGAAACTTATGATTAAACTGGTGAAATACAAAAAGCATTTTTTACTACTTAATTAGATTGAGTATTGATTAAAATATCTAGATTTATATCAAAACTTTTTGCTTTAGGCTTTTTACTAAAAAAAACATCCACGTAGTAGTACTACCTAGTAATATAAGTAGTGATCAATTCTCAATGTGGAATCAATTATCGATTCTATTGAACTTGAAACCAATAATAGATCTAATGTAATGATTTTTCAATTTCCGCCAATGCCAAACAGAACCAGACACCCACGGGTATTGAAATTATCTAATGTTGTAACTCTATAATATTTATCTATCTCATGCACAGAAGCAGTAATGAACTCATATGTGAGATAAATCTATTAACATGACATATAAATGCCACACGCGTTGGTACTATTCCTTACATTGTTGACTGACATTACTGTCTTAATAAACGCCACAAAATAAAATACACCAATATTTTTAGTACATTTTTTAAAAAATACACGTAAAATAATTGAGAAGTAATCATAAAAAATGATCACAAGTTCTTTTTAATACTGCATTACTGGGGAAAAATCATAAGAATGATATGCAATTATTATATTGCCGGTGTTCAAATATGCAAAGTTCTTTGAACACTGGCCCATTATAAAAAGATTCTCCGTTTATAGAGATTTACAAAAAAAAAACCTACAGTGTATTAACTCAAATTTCTTTGCGTTAAAGTGATAATTGAGTACAAAATGAACATATTTGTACCAATATTCTAAATATAACACGTTGTTAATATATAACATGTGACCAATATTGGGATATTTTTTCAAAGTAATGTAATTCTAAATCAATCTATGTACGTACGTTAAAATATATTATGCATTTCATGTATCTAATTGTACTAGTAGGGCGTTGTACTCATAAATTAGTGGCACTTTACTTGTATACAAAAATTCCGAGCAGAGTTTCTCAAACAAAATTTATTTATTAAAGTGTAATAAAGAAATAAATGCTTGGTTCATCTATAAATATAAAATCAATTTGTATTTGTGTAACTGAGATGCAAATATTTTTAAATAACGCACGATCTAATTGTTGCTTTGATTCCTACGATGAAAGCTTTGGTTAAAATTATCTATTAATTAAAAATAAGTCAGGTTTTCCTTCCTGACGAACTCCAGAACGCACGAACCGATTTCGACGATTTTGCATTCGTTGGAAAGGTCTCGGACTCCTTGAGGTTTATAGCAAAGAAAATTGAAGAAAGATTTTAACAGAAAAGCGGAAAACACTATTTCTTTTTTCACATACAGCGTCAACTCATACTTAGCATGTACTACAAACTAATATTTTTTGTTTGACTGCTACTCATATGTTTGACAGCTAATCATTGTTCTTTGCTCAGTGAATTTCATGTGACAAACCGGCATTGTGTTCACTGTAAAATTGTGCAAAAAAAGTAATTCGTTTCCTAACATTTCAATTGGAAACCATCAAATCAATCAGGTGTATTGTGCAATTTTTTATTCAAATTCAACAGCAGACAATTTTTTTCTTCATCTTTTAATCACCAAACAAAATGTTACATAAAATGAAACCATGTGGTGGTGAAACGGAGTTCGCCCGGTTTGCTAGTACCATATAAAAAGCTGATATGTGGTAATAATTAATATTTTAATCATTTTTTATCTGTCGACTGGTCTATGTGTATACTACACATTTATTAGTTTTATGGTCTCATTCATCAACATAAACATGTTTTATTACAACATTCAATATATCAAAACCGATACTCGACTACAAGTAAGTCAAACAAATCATTTTTTGGATAATTCTAATAGGATGTTCCTATCAAAAACTTAATTTTCCGATTGTTGCTCTCTTTGTCCTATTTCTCTAAAACGGCTAGACCTGCCTTTGCCAAAAGCTAATCAGCACGTCTTCCGATCAACAGGAATGTGATATTTTTTGAATCATTCAAATGGGTTGATCAGTGCTCATGAAATCGTGGACAAAAACTTGTATCCGAACATACATATTACACATAAATATATGCCAAAATGTTTAGAAACTTTCGAACGTAAAGATATCCAACAATATTCATTTTCATTTTTTTGCAATTACTATAGCTTATCCTGTGAAAAGTTAATCAAAATACTATTGCTCCGCAATACGATAGCTTGTGCGAATTCAATTTTTGATTGCCTTATAACCAAAGATAATATTAACAACAATACTACATAAAATAGACACAATTATTAATAAGTAATTAAAAATCTAGCTCAAATGTAGTTGCAGTCAGTTGTTTGTTGTAACATGAATCACAACATTCACCGGATACAAAACAAGAAGTAATTCCAGCAACAATTATGCCCCGAATGCATTGAGAAACAGTTGACCGTCTCTGTATGTGTATTTTAGGTGTGATACCCGCCTGATCTGCGAACGGTTGTCGTCATTAAGGAATCATCTACGCTGACCTTCTGAACGTTTGTAATTCATGATCTAATTCAACTCGATTCTAAGAACATCTCAACACGTGTGCCACATAAACAATTTTCTCTTCAAGTTACAATGATTCACTTAAATCAATAAATCGAATTTGCACAAACGATTGATTTTAGTCTTTATTTTTTCAGAATACGCATCGATTGATTTTAGTCATATCCTTGATTTTAGTCATTGACTTAAGTGCCTACTAGTTTATAACTGTTTATTATTAACATTCCGTAGGGTAAGTTATTGTAATGGGCCGAAAATCGAAATTGAAAATTTTTACATTTCTCGACGTTTTGAAGGTTTCTGAACGTTTTGGCATACCTCACAAAAAATGGATGTGTGTGTGTGTATGTATCTATTGATACAAATTTCCAGTCACGTCCTCGGGCGCACGGATCAACCGATTTGAATGGTTCAAAAAATATTCGATTCCTATTGATAGGGAAATGAGCTGATTAGTTTTTGGCAAGGACAGGTCTAGCAGTTACGCAGATAAAGAGCAAAGAGTGCAGAAAATAGAAATCGAGTTTTTGAGAGAACGGAGCATCCGATTTGAATGTTCTAAAAAACATTCAATTAGTAATGATTGAGAGAAGTGTTTATCAGATTTTGGCAAAGGCAGGCCCAGCCATTTCGAAAATACGGAGCTAAATGTGCAAAAAATGGCAGTTTTTCAGAGAACTAAGCGTCCGATTTAAATGATTCAAAGAACTTTCTGCTTGTTTTTAACAAAATAATTGATTTTGGAAAAAAAATTTTGTTTCAACTTTTTTTTTCAAAAAAAAAATTTGTATATCGAAAATAATTCAAATTTTATTTTTAATTCTGACTATAGTTCTAATTTATTTTAAATAAATATTTTAACTTTACAATGTTACAATATTAATAATAATCTATTTGAAAACATTTAAAATTCCTCGAACATTTCGTTACGGTACGGGAAGTTCCAGCAATTTGCCTTAAGGCACGTTGCCATACACCCCACTAGTTTAAATTATAATTACAAAAAAGTCATAAACGTAACAAATTGCACACAGTAATCAAAATTTTCTGAAATTGGGCTCATTAATCAGTTAGTATTGGAGTGTATAAATAGCACAATCCAATTCAATTAATATAAACACAATACGACTTGCGGATTTATAATTTGCACATGGTTTTACATGCATCATCCTATTAGACTGTGAATGAACTTTTACGTTAACAATTGGCCGCATGTCAACAGAATGAAAAGCAGGACGGGACTGTTGATGACATGAATCATCAAAACACAATCACGAGTCACCTCTCCAATGGAGATAAATTAACCACATCGCTAAAAATTATTTCCCAGACTTAGATTTAAAGAGAAATCTAGATAAGTTTATTTTGGATTTTTGGATTATGTATATTCAACCCTTCTTGTACACACCTCAGCCGGGGTCCAACAGACCCCAGCGGTGTTTAAATGCTCACCGTGGGCAAACTTTTGTCTTGATTTAATAAAAATAAATGAAAATAAAATTTGAACTATCTACAATGGGACAGCATATAATTTTAAAAGGCAAAGAAAATTTGAAGACCTGAAAAATGCTCGGTAACCAGCGACCTTGTGAAAAATGGACTTTTTTTTAAAAAAAAATCATAACTTCGTGAATTTTAATCATAACTAAGTTTTGCTTCTGCAAAAATAACAAGCAGATATAGTATTTATCGGAAAAAATAGGGCAATATTCGGTGCCTAAAAATAGATGTTTATTTCTACATGATACCCATTTTTGACTCTAAAAGTAGGGATCAGAAGTACGAGAATTGTTAAATATTTGAACTATTCAAACTGTGGAGCCCACATCAAATATTTTTTTGTGGTACAAATTAAAATCATGATGAGTATATTCGTCAATCACAAAAAAAGTTGTGCTGCTAAGATATGAAATTTTTTTTTTTGATTTGATTTTTTTTTTTTGTTAGAAAATTGGAAAATGTTCTTTGTTAACATAAGCATATAAGCATAAGCATATATAATTAAATTCAGTTAAATATTATACATGTAAATACAAGGAAGTAAGCATACTTTTTGATGAAAAGCAAAAATTATTTCCAAATAATTTCTCCATTAATCTTTCCATAATAAATAGTAGAAAATGTTATTAATAAATCTTAATTCTTATTGATTAAGTATATTATTTCATATGAGGCAAAGTAACTAAATACATATGGAAAATACAATATTGCAATAGAGAACATCATCAAAAATATATAAATATCCTCGATCGACGAGTTCTTCAAATAAGTCAAACTTTGAGAAGCAATGCAATATAATATGTATTTACATTGCAGAGAACACCATGTCACATATAGAAAAAAGAAATTTTAATATACTTTCTTCTTCTCCAGCATGGTCTAATTGAAATAAACAATAGAACATTTTAATTACCCAGAGACTAATTAATTTATTTAGCTGTATGCATCTGTTCATTAAACATTTTAGATACAATCAAAATACAAATGATATTAAACAGATTATACGATGATTTGCAAAAACATAAAAAAATGAACGTGTGGTATTACGAAAATTCTTGAGAAATTCACACGAACCATTAATATAGAACATTCTTTAAACATTTCACTCAGACTAAACGCATGATGAATCAGGAAGTGGTCTCGATAAAATAAAATTAGATAATATATATTCCGTAAAAGTCATGATTCTGTACCGTAAAGTTATATGAAATTACAGCATAATGTAATATACATATTAATTGTAAAAAAATATAACAAAGATTACGAAATTTATGGCAAAAATACATAAATAAAATATTTTAGATATTTCAATCAATTTTTTTGAATATTTTACGAGTTGGGAAATAGCAAATATATATATATATATATATATATATATATATATATATATAACGAAACGAACGACTTAGAAATCCCGTCTATCAAATTAAGTGCCTAGATTGTAATTTAATTTACATTGACGTAGTAATTTAAATTGCAAAAATAATTTAAAAAGTACTAGACAGTTTAAAACTATGCTCGCGGACCACAATAATAATTTAAAACACAATACAGAATTTTTTAAACCGACTGTTCTACATTTTGGAAAAAAAGTTATATTTAAGAAAAATTTGTGAAGGATCGTACTTATCCATTTATAACGATAAAACTATAAATAAAAGGAATGACCTCAATATGTTGTGCAATACAAACCTTTCTTTATCTAAATAGTACATCCAAACTTCTTACAAAACAATAAAAATGAGCAAAAAATTCTCAATTAGTTCCACACGTATTTGAATGTGAGTAAAAATATTTTTTTAAAAATCCTTTCAACATTGTGTCTCCAACTAACTTACAGATAACACATATATAGCACATTTACTCTTTTGTGATAATTTAGTGTTAGCATAATTGTGAAATATTGTTATAATTACAAATTTAATGTTTATATTACATAGTGTAGTGTAGTACATTACCATATCTTCATACAATGGATTATTTATTAAGATTATTGATTATTGCAAATTGTACTGTTTTACTATTATAATTTTTTTATAATAATGAATGAATTGTAAAATATTTTTTATAATAACTGAATGAATTGTAAAATATATTCTTAAATGAAATTTATGCTTTGATAGTATGCCCGATTATTAGCCTTTGTTAATACATATGTCAACATCAAATTCAGAATTAGACATATATATATATATATATATATATATATATATATATAATATATATATATGTAAGTATATATACATTCAAAACAATTTGAAGTATTATTAAGATTATAAAGATGATATACTTTAATTGCATTGTATCTGTTAAACTGTTATCAAATTGATTTTCAATCAGATATACAAATGATATTAATGTGTAAAGATATTTAATACAATTTATATTTAAGTTTGAAAACACTTAATTACTACGGTGCATCAATAAAATCAACAGGTTTTCTAAAACTTCTTCCTATTAATGAAAAAACAAGCTTAGAAATTTAAAATTAGCAATTTCAATTAATTTCATGAAGTAAGAATATGCATTGACACAATATAGCCATTTGGACTAACGTTTAATATTAGAATTAACGAAATAGGGAAGATTAATAACAAGTGCTACAGTATATAGTTTCATCAGGACAAATGTCAAATAGACATTTTGAAATCTTACGTCAAACGCTGTCACTATTTGGCAATGTTATTCAATAATGCTTTGACAGAAATATTTAAAAACAAAAATGCTTACCCGTCTCCCACGACGACACACTTTATAGCTTGCATTTTTACAATAAATCAGATGTGGCAATCAGAATGTTAAAATAATGCCACAATGGGCGTATGGGAAACCGATTAATTTTTTACTATTTAATCCGAAATAAACACACCACCAGTCACAGAAACTTTCACAAATATTCAGCTGCAGCTACAGAGAACATCACTTACGACACGTGTTATTCATTTTGATTCTGTATTACTTATAATTCGCCCGAAATGACTAACGATTACACGAAATTCACTATTTCTCACAGGGGGTACCGGCCATATTGGATTCAGACGAGATTTGACGCGACAGAAGCGCGTAGCATAGACCTGAACTTCGTCGTCGGTGATCGGGTCAAGCACGTGGGGAGATGGCGCCTAGTTTAAATCGTTCCAATATTCAATTTGATTCCTGAACAAATAAGAATGATTAATTTGTTAAATATTATGAATATATATATATATATATATATATATATATATACATATATAATATATAGATATAAAAAACATGAATTTCTTTCAAAAATTGATTTTAAATCCATACGTTTCGGCTATAATCCTAGCCTTCATTCAGTGGAAACTAAAAATAAAATTAAAACTAAATAATTGAATTGGAGTGAAAAGAAAAAATAAAATAGTAAATAGTACTTACAATTAATTAATCTTAGTGTTAAATTGGAAAATTTTAATAATCCATGGTATCAGGATATGGTAATGCACTACACCACGGCTTCTTAAACTTTTTTATATAGCAACCCTCTTCAAGCTTAGGAAATTTTAAACGACCCCCTCTTCCAAATAATAAAATATATATTAACCGTTATCGGACTATTTTACAATGTGAATAAAATAAGGATTGAAGAATATGTACCCATTCATGTTATATATAATTGGAAACGTTGACATAAAACTATATATATATATATTTTTGAATAGTCTTGAATTTGATGTTGATATATATGTTTAATTTAAGTTTAATATTCGGGAGTAAGTATATATTCAATAGAAAAAATAAACTTTTGTAACAATTTATTTATAAGAAAACATAAAACTATATCTATATATTCAATAGAAAAAATAAACTTTTGTAACATTTTTTTAATGAAAACTTTATTATTAACATCAAACAATATTAATGTGATGTATGTGATTGTTTATTTTTACTCAAATAATTAAATCTAGGCTCAATTTGAGTTAGTGCAGATCGTAATAAATCTTCAACGTTTATTAAAGTTGAACGCTATTTTGATTTTATGTAAGTTAATGTGGAAAAGGCTGATTCACATAAATATGTTGCACAAAATGGTAGTAATTTGTTTATTTGAATATTCTGATTTGATTTCAATCCAAAATTCACGCACAGGCACTTGAGAAAATCTGAGTCGCAAGGTAGTATCACTTGTTAATTCGGTAAATTCTTCTTGTGCTGTTAAGTTTAAAAAATTAATTTCTTCCATTTCAATTGAAAATGGATTGCAAATTCATTGTTGTGTATCGATATCATTGGGAAAATACCTATGCATGTAAACTTCCATATTCTTCAAATGATTATCTATAATTTTTGTTATACGAGTCGTAGGAGTATCTTTTTTTGAAATATTGTTACTATATGCTACTTACTTACTTATATACTCGTCAGTAAATGGAAACATTTCGAAAGATCCACTTTCTACTCTGTTTTTCCATATAAAAATTATTTTAACAAAGGCCTCAAGTTTAGTTTTTAACATAAACATATATTAACGCAGACTCCCTGCATTGATAAATTCATATCATTGATTTTATCAAAAATATTGGCCAAATAGCATAGCTTGAGAAGCCATAAATTATCGTGAAAAGTATCGGCCTAATAATACTAATTTTAAAATTTTGTTTATAATGATTGAAAAGTATCAGATCAGATCAAAGAGTTTCTGAGTCAGGTAAATCGTTTTGTACTTCGGAATTGTTCATTTTATTCAAAAGGTATGTTCGTCTGTTACTGGTTACGGAGTTTATAAGTTTTAAGGGATAGGAGTTATCTGTTAGAATTTTCGTAATTAAATTGATGTTGTTGTCCCAAAATGTTTTGTCCGCTGTGCGACACAAACCTCTTTTATTTAGATAGTATTTCCAAATTTCCAGTGCTGGATTACCCCATAGGCCCGTGAGGCACGGGCCTAGGGCGGCACAATTTGGGGGACGGCAAATTTTTCCGATTTTTTTTTTGTCACGGCAATTTAATTTAAGGATTGATCTTGATCTAGATAATTCTCTATGAAATAGAATGCTATTCGTTTTCTAATCAAACTTATTCAAGGGCGCCTCATTAATATTTTTAGTGATGTATCATGTTTAAAATAAAAATTATCAAATTAATAAGCTTTTTTGTGAGAAATAAAGAAAATAAAACTAGTGGGGTGTATGGCATTGTGCCTTAAAGAAAATTGCTAAAACTTCTAGTACCGTAACAAAATGTTCAAAGAATATTAAATGTTTTCAAATAGATTATTACAAATAAATACTGTAACATTGTCTAATATTTATAAGAATTATATAAACTGAATTGCAAAGTTGAAACTATTTTAAAAAGTATATAAGTGAGCTTTAAAACTTTAGTCAGAATCAAAAATAAAATCTGAATTATTTTCGATAAACAAAAAAAAAATTGTTTTGAAAAAAAAATTGAAACAGATTTTTTTTCCAAAATCAATTATTTTGTTAAAACAAGCAGAAAGTTTTTTTGAATCATTTAAATCGGACGCTGGACGCAAAGGTAGGCCCAGCGGTTTCGGAGATACAGAGCTAAATGTTAAAAAAAATTGCAGTTTTTAAGAGAACTAAGCGTGCGGTTTAAAGGATTCAAAGAACTTTCTGCTTGTTTCGCCAAAATAATTGCTTTTGGAAAAAAATATTTGTTTCTTTTTTTTTCAAAAAATATTTTTTTGCTCAGAATTATTTGCAAATGCATTTAGACTGTGACTATACGGGAGCACTTTTTCAATTTTGTGTAAATTAGGCAACTATTTTTTTTTGAAATTGAATTCGAAAAGAAATGACGATTGTTGTTAATGTTCTGGAGATAAATTGATTTATGATTTACATTTGATTTGCTCAGATATAACAAGATAGCAAAAATAATGAAAGTTACAGTATCTGTAATAATATATTTGAAAACCGTTTAAAATTTCTCGAATATTCCATTACGGTACGGAAAGTTCCTGCAATTTGCCTTAAGGCACGATGCCATACACCACTAGTTTTATTTTACAATTATATATAAAAACGCACAAATTAATAAGACGCAAATATAAATAAAAACGTATTTAATACAAATAATACTTCACAATCAAATCAAATATATGAATCAAACAGAACTAGATGCAAATATTAGCAGTAATAATTTCGACCATCTCGCCACGAAGGTTGAATTATGACTGATTATGGAGTACAATAAACTTTTCGTATTGCACCCTCTATGGTTCCGAACCCAAAACTATTCAATTAGATAACAATTTTTGAATTTTTGCATTTTAGTATCATCTGGTAACAATTCATAGTTTTGTCCTTTTCTGACCCCAATAAAAGAGGTTCGCAATAACAACTAAAATCATTCTGTATTTGGACCTCTCGGTGGAGAGTACTAGCTGGTCAGTGGTAAGTCTTTTAAAAAATATTTATGTATTATGTAATCATTTCGTACATTCAGTTTCAAATACGTGTCATGGAACTTGTGTTTAGGTTGATTCGATTTGACTTGATTTTCTGTTGAATTATAATTATAAGAATGTAAATAAATTGAAGTAAAAATTCGTCTCTTTAATATTAAACGATTTGCGTTACATTTTCTAATCCAATATATTTGTGCTGAAGTGTCGCCTTAGTGTTTATTGTTGTGAAAATATTTAATTTTAGCTATTTGAGTTAACATAAATAATTTAATGCAATCTTTAGATTATTAAATTTAAATATAGTTAAATAATATTAAATTTTAATATAAATCTTATGTTTCAAATATTTACGATTGACTACATTTGTTTTGTTTCAGATTTCATACAGTGTTTTGCGCAGTGGCGGATTGCTTTAGGAATTTATTGTGCATGATTTTTTTTAATTCAATCACATTGACAATTTTTAATTATTTTTTATAATTATGTTAAATTATAATTTTGAGTTATTTGCGTCCACATTTTAATTTTGTTTTGTTCGTGCGAGGACTTATTCGTGATTTTAACATCGTTTGAAACGATTTCCGCGTTTAAATGTGTTCCTGTCGCCTACCCCCCACGGCAGGTTCTAGTAATTCGCGTTTCGTTAATATTTTTTTTTCATTTGGTGTGTGGATCCTTGCGATGTTTTTCCCAGAAGCAACGCAACCCCATACACTTCAATTTATGTGTACAATGTTTAATTTTTTTGAATTATTTTATTAGTAGCATGGATGTAAATAATTCGTTTAAAAATCTAAAAACTTTGTTAAATAAATTACTTGGTTTTATTTTGACTGATTTTTCTGCTGCAATGCAATGAATGTGTTTTAATTAAATAATTTAAATTTTTTGTGATTGCACAATAAGTCTCCTAAACGGAGAAACGTTGAAGACGTACTGTTTGAAGTTAAAAAAAAAGGTAAGATAATACAAAACCCTAAATTATGTAAAAAAATAAAAAAATTGACATTTATTTAGTGTAAATGGGCCTCGACTAAAGATACCAGGGGGTTGAGTACTACAACGAACAGGAGAACATGTGTACCGATATGATGTACCAGAGCACTGGAATAAATACGAGTAGGCTACCACATAGTATTTATAAGTCATTGTCCATTTCATTTCTTTCAAGTCACTTTTCATTTCAGGGTTGCAGAATTAATTTCTCACCACGACGACAAGCACCAGGACTGCTAGGAGATTGTGGTGGATTAAAAAGGTTGAAGGTACCCTTTTTGGGGTGCAATGACTGCTACTTGGTACATCTTAGCATTGCGTTTACAATATACAGGGTTTACCTTGGCGCCCCAATCTGACTTTTAATAAAAAACCGGTAATTATCTGTAGAGTGCGTAACTAACTACATGAATGAAACAGAATCTATACTTATTAACTTTTTAATGTTACTAGTGTGTTCGTCGTAGGTGCCAAGATATGAC